ATATATAGATATAAGAAAATCATTTTGAGACTTGGGAATATATAAATATAGTCCTAAACGATTCTAGCTTTAAAATTAGGATAATGACTCATTTGAGGATGCACTCATCAACATAATCAGACTCATGGCATACCATTAGCATTGACGCGATAAGACAATGTTAGGATACAAGGGTACAAACCATGACCACATGACAAGACAACGATAAGAGACAACAACAACATACCATGACCACATGACAGGTCAACGAGAAGAGACAACAATAACAAACCATGACCACATGACACGTCCATGTTCCAACCTTATGCCAAGTTCCAACCTTTACACCACTCCATCCTTATAACAGTTCCAACTTGTACCTCCGATACCAACCTGTACACCAGTCCAACCTTATACCTCCGGAGCAATGCTCCCCGCCTGCTTTTCCGCCAACTTGACCTCCGATCTTAGCACACGCAGTGCCATAATCATAATTGCACCGCAGCGCAAAGCACACGCAGTGCCATAACATAATTGTACCGCAGCACAATAATATAAGCACACGCAATGCCATAACATAGGTATCGCAGCACCATAACATAAACACACGCAGTGCATCCCCTTAAGCACCACAATGCTTTAAACCGCCAATCTCATATCTTTTATCATACATGGACATCCACATGACATTTAAGACTCACAATAACATACTCAATGAGATAAACAGGGACGGGAACAACATATGTACAAACTCACAACGACAAGTGACATCAAGACAACCATAAGACTCATAAGGAACATCATAGACCATACATTGAACCAACGGGATACAAGTTCAAACCACATGCATAATTCAAGACTCACAAATCGTATTACGGTACTTAGGACATCGTTCTAGACTTACGAACATCAAAGAAGACACTTCGGGGCACGGGGATAGACCAAACGGAGGCCAACGAACCGCCGCAACCAACGTTCCAGCGGGTGGTACGGCGGGTGGACGACCACCCGCCGACTACCCGCCGGTGGACCAACGTTGTTCCAGCGGGTGGTGTGGCGGGTGGACGACCACCCGCCGGAACAGTATTCCCGTACCAGCAGGTGGTCAGGTGGGGGTTCAACCCCCCATTGACTACCCGCTGGAACAACACTCCAGGGGAGTTTAACCACTTTGGGAATTAACCAATCTTGCGCAATTTCAAGTCCAAACACATCAAAACTTACATCAACAATAATAGGGACTTGAATACATAGAATAACCCAAAGAACAACATTATTGAACCCTAAACACAAGCTCTAAACATGCATAAACACAATAATATGCATATAATCACATCAAGAATATCAAGAATGCTAAGAAATCATAATATATCAAAGAAAATAAGTTTTGTAAGACAAGGATTACCTTTTAGCCTAATTAAACTTCTCACAACTCCTAAGATCCTTCTTCAAGGTCCCCTTCTAATTGATCTTTCCTAAACTTGGTGATGGGGAAAGGTCTAAACTTGATACATTCAATAGTGGAAAAGATAGAGAATTCCTTGGCTAGGTTTTGGGAGAGAAATTCGAGTAGGGGGAATAGGGATGGGTGATAGGGTCCTAATGCCTTCCAATTTCTTTTAAATAGGTTTAGGATTCCTAATACGAATCTGAAAAGGTAAGAGGGCCCTCCTTATTTTATCTAAAAGCCTAACGGGCTTTATTCTAGACAAAGATCCACGGTCTATTATGGACCATATCAATAGATTAAGGAATTTGGGTCAAATGGTTTGGGCTAAGTTATACTTATTGGGCATATATATATATATATATATATATATATATATATATATATATATATATATATATATATATATATATATACACACACACACACACTATGTTTTGAGAAAGATTCGGTTCCAAAAGGGAAAAGAGAATGGAAGTTTTGGGTTTCAAACTTGAGGATAACATTAAATAGGGATATGATCATTGTCATCAAAGTTGCAACTTAGGAAGTAAGGTTGTCACCTGGCACGGAATTGTTTGGAATAAGGGATCAAGAGCGAAGTTTGAAGTGGTAGAATGAATTTCTCAACGAAACGGTATTCGATTTGTCACAGAAAGGAAGGGAATTCGGCTTGTTGCACGTTCAAACTTAAAAATCCTTACACCCAAATAACACATTTGACTTTACCCCTATATCTATAACCTTTGTACTAATTATCATGCCCATATGGAAAATATCAGGATCATAAGATGTACCGAACATGCAATTAAATATAATTATTTATATACTTAATAAGGGACTAATACCATACATGTGCAAATTCGAATAGCCTTACAATCATTATAAAACATATATACACATGTATCAACACAGGCGAACCATATTCACGAATGGATATAAACATTTAATGTACAATTTAACATGTCATGAGCCAAATACCACATACACAGGATTTGAACCTAATCATTGTACTCAAACATAATACACCCGACACTCACAATTACATAATAACAAGCCTATCACATATGATAATCTTTCATAATTAACTATCATGTTATATGCGAAACTTGCAAATTGGCACACCTACATATATACTGCTGCAATTATGCTAAATATACAACTACTTAAGTCTATAGGCATAGAGCATGAAGGCACATGAACATATTTCAAGTCTTAAATAATAACTAGTAATATGAAATCACACAACACCTATGCGTACTGTTCAACATGTTAAACTAGTGCATATTCAACAAATAAATTCATGTACTCTACATCGCGGCATAACCAACAATTGTCATATATATTCACGAAGATCATAAAACATATAACAATTACTCAAAATAACAAAAATCGATTTTTTTTAGGAAAAGATTTTCACGTATGCAATTAAGAAAATGGTTTTTGCTTCTTATGGGGTAAATAAATTTTGGAAAGACAATAGAATCAAAATCTTCATATTGCACACCACAAATTTTACAATAATGGATAATCACATAGCAAGTATTTACATAAATATTAAATACTAAAATTTAGCACATACGAAATATTTCACTAAATTCCATAAACAAATATTTTATACCTAATTCTTATACTATAAATACACGAGGTGTTATACGGGATTGTCCATAACATACTAAGTATACATATGTAACACACTAATCATCATATACTAATATATAACACATGACACAAAACCAACTTCCAATCGCCAATTCTATAAATAAGCAGATTATGCACATACACCTTCACATACATATTACGAACATGTATATAAACATTGTGGTCCTAAATTTTAGAGAAAATTACAATTTTGTCCTGTGAGTATTGTGGTCTTATTAATTTGAGTACTTGACTTTAAAAATTATCAATTTAGTCCCGTAACTATGCAATTTTTAACACATTTGGTCCTTATGGCCAAATCACCAGCCAAATGTTGCCGAAAAAACTTAAACCTTTTTAATTATTTTTTATTCTTGGGGGAAAAACAATCATTTTACATCTAAAACAAAAGCGAACAGTTATTTGCTTCCTTCTTCGTGTACCAGTTGATGCAATGACGAGGACTGGGCAGTTGATGCCCTTTCGGCAATTCAGCGAGAACGCGTACCAGAACTACGACGAACTTGGCTTCTCAGTTCGACGATGACGACTCCAACACCAGTTGATGGCCTTTCGACGCTCTTCCCCTGCTGCTGCAACTTCCTCTTGCTGCAGGATGTCGTCGGCGCTGAGAGCTGGCAGAGGCGAGCTGGATTCTTCGGTGATGTCGCTGCATCTCTCCTCCTTCAGGCGTCGCTGGCTCCCGGCTGCCGTTGCTTCATCTCCTCATTGCTGGTTTTGGGTCGACGGCGGCAAGCTTTGGCGTTGCAGCGAGGTAGTCTGGCGGAGTCCTCGATCAAATGACTGAAGATTCCTCTCCAATCTCTACCTGAGGTCTGAATTTTGGCTTATAAAAGGTTAAGTTACTAGAAATATTTTTAAAAATCCACACACACACACACACACACACACACACATATATATATAGGGAAGGGTTCAGGTGCGGGTAATGCTTCCTGTGCAGTTGTGCGGGTTATTAATGTGCGTGAGTTTTGTACTTAGCGTGCGTGAGTATTGTGCTTAAGGTGCGTGAGTTTTAACTACGCTGAAAATTCAGCATTTTTAGCTAATAACGTTTCTTGCATTTTAATACAATGGAAAGTATGCATTCCAATGACTTAGTATCTATTCTTTTAATTTGTCTTCAGTGTGCAGAGGTATATGTGGATAGTTGCAGTTTAACAATGGATATAGATTTGTTTGTTCAATTATGGAATTGCTTGGTTCCACAAGCACTACATACCTTGAATATCTTTGCTACTATTTCTTTCACCACGTACTTCTTTCAGTAAATTACTATTTTCTTATACCTCACGCACATTAAGCACAAACCTCACGCACCTTAAGTACAAACCTCACGCACCTTAAGCACAAGACTCACAAACACTTAGCACAAAAATTCACGCACATTAAGCACAAAACTCATGCACTTTAAAGTTTCAACAACAACTCACATTAAGTACACACTCATGCACATTAAGCACAAAACTCACGCACCTTAGGCGCAAGACTCACACACCTTAAGTACAAAACTCATGCACATTAAGTACATATCTCAGACACATTAAGCACAAGACTCACGCACATTAAGTATAAAACTCACGCACATTAATCAACCGCACAACCGCACTGGAACCATTCACTATATATATATATATATATATATATATATATATATATATATATATATATATATATATATATATATATATATATATATATTGAATCTGGTGAGGTTACCTTTGTCAGGCAAGGTGGTGAGGCTTGATCTGGTACATTTATTTGTTTTTTTGGATGGATGAGATTTGTCTGATTTGGAGGCCACGTGCAGTTGATGTTTGTGCATATGGGGGTGTTGTTGTCTTTTTTATGGTGTCTTTATTAGGGTGTAATAATTGATAGCAGATTTTATGGGCTTGTGCACCACTAATTATGGTATTTTATGTGTTGATTAAATATATATTACTTCGCGTCTCTTCAATTGCAGTGTCCGACCGTTCCTCTCCCAATTGCCGTTGTCCGTCCGTCCGGTCCTCTCTTGCTGCTTTCGAACGACTCACTCACTCCTCCAACACAATCTCCGGCGACGAGCATGGCAGGGTCTTCATCACGCCAACCCAATTGACCGAGGTGTGGATCGTCTGCTCGCATTCCAGGTATCCCATCTGCTGTAACGTGCTTGATCCGGCGCTTTTATCAAAATATGCATTGGTTTGATTCAGTTCTATTGTTACATTAAAGTTCTGACCTAATTCTCAATAAATTCATACTGGGGGAACTTCTCTCTGGATCTCTATTTCATTTATGTGCTAATGTGCAGTTGGTTTTTGCTCTTGTTGATCAGATTCCTTTTAAAATTTTTATGCATTTAAAAAAAGTTAAACATATAAATGAGGTAAAGCTGATTTGTAGTAATTGCTACTGTTTTGACCATTTGCAATGTTTACACATGATGTTCTGCTCATCTTTGTAGGGATCTATGCAACATCTTTGGCTGCCTTCTATAACCAGCTACTGTATGTAATTTTATTTTTGGATCTTTTGTGTAAACATCTCACATTCAGTTTTCTTTTTATTTTACTTGCTTGTGTGCTATGTGTTTCAATATTTAAAAATTTATGTATGTTAATATTTTCACTTCATCTGAACATAGAAGTTGAATAGGATTCTATTTACTACATATAATTTTCAACAAATATGTCAAAGTTTGGATGAAATTTGAGATGAAAGTCAATCTTAATGAACCAAGTTCACATGATGAAGGTCAGACAACTTTAAATTTTTATGTTAATTGGAAAAAAAGTTAGTTTAGGCAGAATAACAAAAGCATGCATCTGCAAAAAAAAATCTACAAAACTGCAACAGCCTCTACTCCAATGCAAAGCCATAAAACCCACTATAGTGTATCCCTTAAAGAACCAGTAGTGCTGCCTTCCATGGAACATCTCCACGAACTTTTGCTACCTCATTCTTCACCAAGATTGTGAAATGAAGGTGAAATATTCATTGTCATTATACATTGCTGATTAAATACTTGATTCATAGAGAAAAGGACAACGTAGGGACAGATGAGTCTGAGATTTGATTATCTGACCTCATCTTCATTCTGTTATAGAGTCAATGGAGGGAAGTGAACTTTTCATTCCTGCTCTTGTCTCATTTTATTTTATTTTTTAAAACTCTATTGTCAATTGCAGTTTGCTAAACTGGTCCCTTGTTTTTTCAGCTTCTAACGCAAACCTACATGGCAGTTGTATGAAAATTTCTTGTAGTATTGCAGTTCTGTAACAGTGTTCCCATATAATTTATGTAACTTTGTTCTTTAATCTATCAGTTTTGTAATAGAACAGCTAGGGTATCATAATTATAATTTACAGATTCAAACTTTAACAGTTCTTTGTTGCACAACTGAGTATAGCGACTCTTCACATTCTCAGGAAGTAGGGTCTTTTTGAGAAGTAACTTTTGTGAAAAAATGCTGATGATCTGTTTAACTATTGATACTTTCCAGGGGTTGTGGTAACATTGTGCTTTACAGTGCATAACCTTCTTAGTCTTGTTGCTTTGGAGAGCTCAGCTTAGTTAGAATGCTGAAAAGCACATCTATGCTAGGTCTATTCACCTTCTATCCTTTATTGTTTCTAAATATAGCTCACAACAACTCACACCCCTCCACCCCCATCTTAAGCACCCAAAAATAGCCTAGCTTAGTTGTACAATCATTTAACTTTAATAAGAAATAAGAAATAATGTCCCCATCCTCACATCTTCAGTGGGAATTAATGAATTTAATTCCACTTAAATCTCTGATTAATGCATACTTGAATTTAATTGAGAAAGTCATACAGCTAATTGATAGTAAATGTAATATTTTTCCTTTCGTTTTCTGTTTAAAAATGACGCTACAGTGTAATGCACAAGGCCAACTGTTCTAACGCACACGCATAGTATTATTCTAACGCACACGCATAATATTATTCTAACGCACACGCCTAAAATAAATGAACACACCATACCACATAACTGCACACACCTACCACCTCCAAAATAAAAACAAAATCACTTACACACGTCATACCTCCAAATAGCACACACAAAGACCTACCAATTGCAAACCCACTACGTATGAAATTAAAAAAAAAAAAAAAAAAAAAAAAAAAAAAAAAAAAAAAAAAACACTCACACACACACACACCAACGTAATAATGCACACGCAATATACCTTACATGCTCACACCACCATTTTATATTCCTGCCAGCCGATATGTTACAATGTTCCATTGAAAAAAAAAAAAAAAAAGACAGGTCATTCACATAGAACAACCCATTTGTAAAAAAAATCGTGGCCTACATGTTACAAAGTACCATTATAAAAAATTTGCAAACGCCTTTCCACATAACCGCACACACCACCGTCAAAAAACAAAAAAAAAAATTCTCAGAATTTTGCACACGTCATACCACACAAACGCACACGCATCTCTATAACGTTCACACACCTACGTAGGAATTTGAAAGAAAAAAAAAATAATTGACAAGCACAATACTAGAGCTACTATGCACTTACTATCTACTCAAAATGCAAACGCCTGAACAAATAATTTTTTTTTTTGTTGGTTACGTAATTCCAATAAACTTGCACAAGACAAAAAAAAAAAAAAAAAAAAAAACATAAAAATGCACACTCAATGTTATAGTAGTTACCAAAAACACAGTGTTATGCACACGATCGAATGAAGTAACGCACACAGCGACAAATAAAAACCATCGTAACATTAACCTAAATTAAAATTACAGATTTATTATTTCAAAAAAAAAAATTATAGCTTTACATTCCTGTGTTGGCACGTTACTGCTTCAATAGACTTAATTATTACAATCCCTTATATTATGGTAAATATTCTATTTTAATTATAACCAAAATTAAACATCATAATAGAATTACTCTTTTACCCTTCTTTTTTAAATTTATCCTTAATTAATTGATTGTTGACTTTCAATCCTATACATCCATTGAAAATTTATTAATGGACTAGTTTTTTACGCGCATTGCGCGATTGGGATAATGCCCAATGCTTTTTTTTTTTTTTTAAATAAGTACTTTAAAGTATATTAAGGCAAGATTATATTGAAATTGTTCATGCATAGATAATTGGAGGTTGAATTTGCGTATTTAAATAGGTAATTCTTCTCCCAAAGGTTGAGTCCCCAACCCCAAGGGCTCCCCCACACTCCGACCCGACAGAGCATTGTGGGAAGTTGTAAATCACAGTGACTCAATGGTTCAGTAGACAGGGCCAAATGCTGATACGCACAAGGAATCTGCCCACTTTGGACATAATTCCCGCATTGCCGCCGCCGAGATTCAAACCTTGGTCTCTTCTCCCAAATACTACCCACTAAACCATTGAGCTAAGCCCGTGCGGGTTAAATAGGTAATTCTAAGTTTACAAATGCAAGATAATATAGTCAATATTGATTATAATTGTCAATAAAATAATTGTATAGGTATGGTTGAAACCAAATACGGGACATAAGGGAGAACAAAAAATTAGGGCATAAAATATGAAATATATACTAATATTGTTTGAGGAGATTCCGACATTAGAATTTGTGGTTAAGTTCTATTAAGACTTTAATATTAGAATTAGATTAATGGTGTAGTTATAATTCTATATTAGACTTTAATATAAGAATTAGACTAACGGTGAATTAACGGAAAAGTTAAATGGATAATCATATAATTAAGGATAAATTAGAAAATCATAAAAGAAAAAAATTAAAACCTGAACAATATGAACCATTCATTTGATTTAATAATTTGGCGGTCATTTTTTCTACCCAATGTTAATGATTAAATAAATTCGCTGGTCAAATCCGCTTGTATAATCCGCTAATGTTAACCGCTAACTGCTGATTGTCAAACAAGGACATTGCGAGGTAGTTCTCACTTCAATTTGTTGTGTGATTTGAATACTCTCTTTGTCACAAAATCTCTCAAGTAGTTAATATGGTTGGCTTTATTAATTATATTTTTTTAATTTTTTCATGGTATTAATAAAATACTTGGTAAATAAATATATAGCATTATTTTATGTTATAACTTTGATATTTAATTAGAAAAATAGTGCACAAAAAAAGATAATAGATAATGTAGTGAATATAATCAATTGATGAATTTGAATGTAAAAATTTTTACATTTGAAAAAAATAAAGATAATATAACTAATGAAAATATTTCTTTTAATTAATTTATTGATAATTAATAATTTGTTTTTCACTGAATAAAGACATTGTAAGGACAATGTAGCGAATATAATCAATTAATAAATTTGAATATAAAGAATTTTTATATTGAAGAAAAATAAAGACAATATAACTAATAAAATTATTTATCTTATTTAATTTATTGATCATGAATAAATTTTTTTTTTTGAATAAAGACATTGTGAACACATAATTCTAAATTAAATAAATGCATATGTATTATTTTTTGTTGTAACTACTAAATTATTATTTATATAATTTAATAAGAGTAAAATAGAGTACTAATTATGCCAACTTTGATTGAGATGATGTTCGAACCTAAGACCTTTTTTTTTAATGAGTAAGTTAACGGTGAACTAACGGCAATTCTTAAAATTTTAACGGAATTAGTAACGGTGTGTGGGTATTTTAGGAAATTTTAGTGTAAAATTTAAATCTGATCAATCTTTTAATCAATCTGAGCCATTCATTTGATTAAAATCTGTGACCGCCATTTTTTCTACCCATTATAGGCCTAACTCTCTTGGGCTCTTATTAGTATAGTAGATAAGATGAGATCTCATGATCTCATCCATCTAAGTGACCTCATGGGATCCGGAGCCTATATATATATATATATATATATTATTTATTTATTTATTTATTTATTTATTTATTTATAAATGGAAAATTGAATAGAATCGTTTAGTATCCACAATTTATAAGGAAATTTGTGTAATTAAAGATGGAAATGCCGTTGCAATACGTATGAATGATTCCAAAGAAATTAATTATGACTGATTTTGTAGCACTTCTTTATTCAAAATTATGGGACCTCATTACAATGGGTATATATAAAGATGTGTAATTATGTATAGAATGTGTAAGGAAGATTTTGCTTAAAGATGGAAAACAAATTAGACCAATTGAAAAAGGTAATGAATATTAATAATTTACTCAAAATTAAATATGATCCCCATATATAATTCACTGAACATTGATATTTAAAATCTATAAAGTTTCAGCACCGGATGCGTACATCTACACATTGACTACGGATGCGTACATCTACACACTCACTATTAATTGGACAATTATTTGATCAAATTCAAGCAATGATAACATCAGAAAATACAATCGATCCAACTCAATTCTTCAATTCCATTATATAATATTCGATGTAATAATTTATATAATTATATATCGATCCAAATATTCTTAAAATATTTTAACAAATCTATTTCGTGCATCGCACGGGCGAAAATACAAGTTATTAGATAATGATCTTGTTTGATTATTGACAAATTCCTCAAATTTTATCAAATTCGCCAATTTAACATTTTATCTTTAATCAAACCACCAAAATTAATATTTAATAACTCAGCAATTTGCTCCAAACTGCTAAAAACTAAAACAACAAATATACATTTAGGGTTAATATTTCCCAAACACCCCTAATAAAAAGATTTTTTAAAAAAAAAAAAAAAAGCAATTAAACTAACACTTCTCAATACTTGCACACATTGATGGGCAAGCACCCCTCCTACATTTTCGATGTGGGGTCAAAATGATCCCACACCATTTACGTGACTCCCTTTTGTCTGTTTTTTTTTTTTAAATTTTATTTTGTTATTACATTATTATTATTGTAATTTTATTTTATTATTACATTACATAATAATAATAATATAAATTTTCTTTTAGACAATTTTCTCTGTGCAGCCAAACATTAAAAAGAAAAATATTTAAAAAAAAAAAAAAAGAAAACTAAAATAAGAAGTCATTAAGTTAAGATTTCTTAAATAAGAACATTTTGACTTCTCAATCACGTTGATGGGCAAGCAATTATGTTTGGAAGATGAGCTTGTTCCTCTTAAATAGAGGAGCTCAAGAGCTCCTCTTTCCAAACATTTTCGATATGGGATTAAAATGATCTCACGTCATTTACAAAGGGGAGTCCTTTGTCTTTATTTATTTATTTATTTATTTTTAAATTAGTTTTATTTTGTATATAGTTTTGTTTTGATTATTATTGTAATTCTATTTTATTATTACATTATTATTACATAATAATAATAATAATAATAATAATAATAATAATAATAATAATAATATAAATTTTCTTTTAGACAATTTGATGTTGT